CACAACGGTTCCGAGATATTTGCAAAACTCTGTAGCGCCGGTGTCTGCGGTGGTGAATGAACGCGCTGTTGTCCTTTCCGGGGAGTAACGCGTTCACCACCACGCCATGCGGGTTCTTCGTTTCGCCTGTCTCTTAGCTAGTTCCATCGATCTCGGCCATCAGCAATCACCTGTCTGGGGGATTGATCAGGGCAGCCCAAATCGGCAATGAACCCAGTTAAGCTGAGGTTAAATCACAATTTTGACTTATTATTTACTGCCTACTCGTTTTAAGGTTATTAAGTGTGAAAACAAACTCGCAAAAAGTAGAAATCGGAGTAAAAAATCCCGTGTATTTTTCGCGAAATATCTAGATTCTGGACATTTTTATATCGGATGACAAAGTCCATCATGTGCTGAGCTATGGTTCTCTAAAGGCATAACTGCTTTCGTGGTCGTATGAATTGGAAATGAAGATCAATTAGTATGTTCAAATATGGGAAACACTACAAATTGGTGGGACTATCTATAATTCTTATTGGAGAAATCGGAGTCATTGTTCTGCTTTTCTTGAAGAGTGTTCAAGAAGGTCGCTAGAAGATCGATATACGCGCTTAGTCTTGGGAAGTTACCGTTTTTCCATACCTCTTTTCTCACTTTCTCCTTTCTACCTCTTTTTGCTTTTTCCTTTGCACCACTATTCTCATCCAAGCGACTTACATACCTATACTTCATTTCCTTATTTATCCTTTTGGATTAATTTTAATCGTGAAGAATTTAATAAAAAGGCCTGGAGCCATGCAAACTGAAGACGAATTGAACCTCGTCCTCGATCGACTTCTCAAAAAGAACGACAATGAGGAAATTGGGGATTTGAAGGATAACGTCGAACCTCCTATGTATTCTGTCGAAGAGCCTGACGCAAGTGAATCGAAAGGGATGAAAACCTTAGTAAAGTCAACTGTTAGTGGGTGCGAACTGTAAGAATCTTCGACCATAGACATTCCGGCTGTGTATCCATTCATCTTGCCTCATTGCGAAGAACATATATTTTTGCGGCAAACTTTTAAGAGCTGGTTCCTTCGTGTCACTCAAAGATAGAGTCACATTTTGCCACTACTATTCCACTTAAAAACCATAAGAGCGTGCGAGAAGTTAGAGGTGCTCTGCAATAGACATGGATTCCATCCCGTGCCCAGGCTCACTAACCATCCATCGAGCGATGCTCCAACGAACATCCCGTCGTGGACACCGTCTCAAGTCATCGGCTCTGAGGAAGACGAATACGTCAAAATGTTAGTTAGATAAAGTTCTTTATCAACCAAGTGCTAGCTTACCAGTGAAACAGCACAGCACAGCTTGTTTAGTCATACCAGGGTATGGGAAAGTCGGTTTGTGAAAAAAAAAAACTTTATTCGGCAAGAGCAACAGGGCTACAAGAAAGGATAATTGTGGACAATCGACTCGGATCAATCTACTTCTTAAGAATGCGAAGGAGGCGAAGCGTTAAACATTTTCATATAAATCCTGTTAATGATAACTTCTTATCAGCTCATCAAAAAAACTGTGAATTACCGAGCTGAGGTTAATAGAAAGTCGGTTCTGGAAGTTCTTAAATATTTAAAGTGAAGAACAGAAAACCACGAAATTGAAGACATGAAATTCCCCAGTTTTTGGCGAAATACAGCAATAGAAAGCAATAACGAGCTCATTCAATATTATCACCACACAACAAATCGGAGGGCTTGAAATTCACAAGTAGCTATCCAACTCCAGCAACTCTGGAGGTGTCAGCTCGGAGCTGCACGAGTAACATCGATAGAAAAAGCTGAAACAAAAACAAGCAGTAATAGGCATTAGAACCGGTTCCTAAGTATTAGTATAGATGGTTTACTGGTTTATTCTCCCAAAATCTCATGTTCTTGCACTAATAAGTAGTCGTACAACACTCAATTCAAACAAGAGTGAATCCAAAGCTCAACTCCGTTGTAACACCCTGGTCAGGCTTTTTACACGCTACCTATCAAGAAGATTCCTAGTTAGCGGAAAATAAGGATTGCACTGTTCACTACAAAGAAAACCAGTACGACATTGGCATCTGTCACTCAGTTACCCACTGTTTGTCTTCTACAAGCTCTTTAACCAAGTAACCAAGAAATAACACATTCACCAAACTAAAACCAAGCAAATAGAGCTTACAAAATTCCTCACGACAGATTTTACTAAAGAAGGAAAAAGTCTAGCTGTATACGACGAGAGCATTTCGAACGAAGTCCTATCCAAACGTATTATCCTATCCTATATCCTGTTAATATATCCTGTTATCCTATCCTATCCAAGTCCAGCACTGATGGACGATCATCCTGCTCGAGAAAGATGACCAAAGAGATTTCCGTAACTACCGTCCGATATGCTTGTTTAGTGCACTCTACAAGCTCTTCCCAAAGATTATCCCCCTGCCCAAATCAAGGACATTGGGTGAGGCGCAAACAGTCGAGCAAACAGGATTTCGAAAAGGATTTTGCTGCATGGACCACATCTAAACCGTGTCCAGGGTCATCGAAATTTGTCAGAAACACCACTTGCCTCTAGCCCTAATCTTTGTCGACGATTAGAAAGCGTTTGACAGTGTCGAAATGAATGTAATCCTATCAGCGCTTTTGGAGCAAAGAGTGGACTCGTCCTACATAAGGACTATGCCCGACTGTTATCGGAACTGCACTACGAAAACGCAGCTTTTCCATCGACCTCTTACCATACCCATAGGAAAAGGAGTTGGACACGCCGACACATTATCGCCAAAGCTCTTCAGTGCCGCACTGCAGTGGATAATGAAGTCATTGGATTGTGATGAGAAAGCCATACGTATTAATAGAATATTCCTATCAAACCTTCGTCTTGCCGACGACATTGTCATCTCCTCAAGAAGTACTAGAAAAGCAAAGGTGATGATCAACGAGCTCAATGAAACGGGGAAAAATCGTACTTCGCATAAATCGAAAGAATACCCTGTTCATGAAAAACCTATGGTGCGAAGGCGAAAAAATTGAATTGGATGGTTCTCTCATTGCAGAGACCACCTCATACGTTTACCTTGGGGCGATCGATGAACATAGAAAACAACATGGAGGAACTAGATAGAAGAAGGAGAGCAGCTTGGGCCGCATTCGGGCCTCTCAAAGAAGCCACCGACCAACTGAAGGACTCGAAAATCCGCGCTCGTCTCTTTGATTCTACGGTCCTCCCAACGCTCTGTTATGCTGCTGAGACGTTGGTTGATACTTCAATTACGTCAAGATTACTCCGCACTACACACAGAGCACTTGAGCAATGTCTTCTGAAATATAACCGGCACTCTCAACATCTAGCCGGAACGCGAAGCTCTGACCTTCGAAATCTGCCACATCTTCGAGATCCAGGAGAATATACATCGACAGCGAAACATAGATGGGCCGGTCATACAATGAGAAAAACAGACAACAGATGAACGAAAAGAACAGTAGAGTGGACTCCAAGAGAATTCAAACGTCTTGAACGACCACCTACACGTTGGGCTGTCGTGTTCGTAAACAAAGTTAATCGGCTGTACCAGCAGCTGCTGTTGTTTTACAGATCACGGTATGAGACTCACAAGCGCTACCATGCTCGAGCAAGACCACCACCATGGACTACGATTGCTAGAGAAAGAAACGAATGGCATATGTGCTGGGGTCCCACACAGCTCGTGAAGACGGGCCAAGTATCCAAGTAAGTTCTTATTAAAAAATAGCGGGACTAACCGACACACAACACCTTTTGCATTTCATGAACGTAATTAGTCAGGACTTTGAATGAAGCTGGAGATCTGACTGTTAGAATTCCACAAACTCAGCGTACCTCTTCCCAGTACACAACGATCATTGATGAGTTAAATCCAAGAGTTAACCAAGTGGGAAGAATTCTGGCAGACTTAGAAATCTCACATAATAAGAAATTAATCTTCAGTTGTATCTCAGTAAAATGACAATCACAGGTGACTGACTGGTTTCTCAAACCCTATCCACAGCCATAAATAGCGGATGGTTCAAATATGTGTATAATAATGGAGAATTCGACATATCGAAAAACATGACCATATTTTTTCGAAGAATTGCAGACGGAATGATTTACCAATTCCAGCTCTTACTTACTGCCTAATCTCTTCTCAAGACAGGGTACGACGTGTAATACAATTGCAAAAGTGTTAAGATATGAGCAATACTCTGGACCTCAAAATGGCTTCGGAACACTAAACGTGGCGTTCGCTTTGCCTTCTTTTGAGTCGTGTTGTTACTCTGTCGGTGGTCATCGACCATACGTTAACGGAGACGATTTCACCAATTTCACTCTGCAAGGAACTGACATACCGCTATGCCATCTTTTCGGAACATACAGCGCACACATCACATTTGTTTGGTTACGGAAGTTTCGTGATGTACACAAAAACTTGGTGCAAACATCAACAATGTAAACAGTGCACACCAACACCTACAGCTACAGAGACATGGAATGTACTACGGGAAAAAACTTGGAGAAGCCTGACCAAATGGGACGTTTCCTATTCAAATTAGATAGTACTGAGGAAATGTACACAATATTGAAAATTCACCTTCTCAACATCATTCAGGCAAGCTATACGCACACCATTGCACGCCATATTATACCTTTCTACTATCAAAACATGCATGACGACTTTAATAACTCTACATGAATAAAGGAAACGAACGTTACAGTTCCAAAAATTAAGGACTTTTCTTAAATAAAGTTACAATCGTAGTGACAACCACAAATGACAATAAACAAATAGGATGTAGAAATATGGATCTAGTGACCAATACATCATAACACGTGTAACTGCTTGTTATAAAAATGCAGATCATGAAAACTGACTCCACGTAAATTCTCGAACGAACACGTTATCCGAAACGAATACGGTATACGCCAATAACTTACGAAATCAAATCGGAATCAAGTTCAAAACTATGGAGCTATACCGTCGAAAATCAACCACTCTCATCACTACTCCGGATTTGCCTTTTCTTCTTAACCGGAGCCGAATCACTGTCAACACTAATGTCATGTGATTTCCGTGATTGCGGTGCGCTATCGCTATCTGATGCACCAATGAGCGGTCCACCACCAGATCCACTATCCGATTGTTCATCATCAGAATCCATAACATTCTAAAGAAATTTATGGAGTTGTTACATCTCAGCAGCGTTTTATCAGCATATTAGTTGGTCACGAACTTCAAGTCATCTATCTACTCAGCAAATGATAGCTAATATTTCAATGGACGTATAAAAAATGCTTGATCAATCGTACTTCGCATATGCTACCAAAATTTAGAAATGGAAGAAAATAAAGAGCATATATGTGCTCCTCAGCTCATTGGAGCATAAAGAACGCGCAACAGGATCAAAGCAAAAGCTGTACTGAACATGGAAACGGTGCGATTGATGATTCCACGTGTTGTTAATTTGCGTAATATTAGGCATTTTCCGGAGAAAAGTTTTCACTTGACTAGGATGCTGTAAATCGTTTAACTACCTCGCTCGACAAATCACACATCCCAAGCTTAGTCATCCACTCAGGTTTATGGAGAAATCATCATAGCGCAAAACGGGTTATTTGAAAGATAGCTAATAATCAACGAAAAGAATGGCCCATACATTATTAATTACATTTGAAAAACTGTGCCTAACTACTGGTACATAGCAGGACAAAATCTTGTGTAAGCTCAATATCAAGGAACCTTATGGACGCGCATGTATTTCTTGAAATTACAGACATTTTAGAAAACCGAATCAGTGGTAGTACAAAAGAACGTACTACTAGCAAAAGCGATTGAACCTTGCGCAAAAACGGAAAATCAGATAACCTGGGCAGAAGCATGTTTGCTGTGCAATGGAAGAACACCACAAAATTCACTATACCTAGGCGTAAGCATGTAAAAGAGACTGTAAGAATACTATTTTAGGGTCGAGTTCACATATTTTACGCAAAAAAGCACTAGATGTTTTTCAGTAACCATTTCATATGTACAACAAAATTTTTGTTCTCTAAGTGAATTATCGTTTCTTCGCGTCTATCCCCAGTTCTGAAATTCGATATTTCCACCTAGAAGCTCAGATAACACTGACTGCAGGTCAAGGCAGTGCCTAATGAGCTATCTTTGGCCACATACTCTCCAAGTACAGTGAAAAGGGCGTCATACAAAAGATGTATATGTTCACCCTTTAGCTGTTTGGCCTCATAAAAGTTTACCGCATCATCGTGGCTAGGTGTTCCTGGGTGTTACACTGCGAGGTACTGCGGGGAGATTCAACCCCCTGGCAAGGTCTACCAAGCTGAAAAGGAGTCCGGAATTTCCATCGGAAAGCCTAGCTAAGAGTAAACCAATACCAGTGTCCATCACCGTCCTGGTATCAAAGTTGCATAGTGGCAAATCTCCCTCTGATCCACGAGGGATGCGACTGCCTGTGGTGGTGACGACCTGGGGTGGGTTTTGGCCAAGTTGATCTCGGGACTCCAGGGAACCACAATGGCTAAAGCAGTAAAATTCCAAAAAGACGGAAATAATGCTGGGGCTCGTACAACCTGTGAGGACGGGCCATTCAAGTATCAAGTAAGTTAGCTGTTTGGGCCCTTCGAGCAAAATAATCGGTGTGTACTAACACAATGGAATTCACTGGTGATCGCTCAAAGCCACTCCACGATTATTGCAATTGTCGTTCAGGTGATTAGCAACTATGTTTCGCCATGATTTACTTTCCTATTACCTTTTTCCGTCGTTGGCGAGGAATGCTATCGTCAGAATCTTCTGAATCGGTGATTCTTGGAGGTCTTGGACTGTCGTTGCCTGGATCTTCAGGCGCGTGGACTGGACCGCCATCAGAAGAGTCCTCGTCAGATGAAAGAAACGCTCGGCTTTTAACTAAAAATAATACGATGTTTATTCTCTTCATTCAATGCCACGAATAATCTTCACACACTGTCAAGGATAATGCATACTCTTAGAAGATTGTTTCTGTGAAAGCTTTGCCGCTGATTTACGCTCTGCAGCTTCCTTCCTTCTTCTACGACGTTCTTGAGCAGATTCGTCCTCTTCTGAAGCACTACCTGTTTCAGCTGCCCGCTTCTCACGTCGCTTTCTCGACATCTTCTTTGATAACTTCTGCATAATATGAAAACTTTACCGGAACACTTCAAGGAAATATTTACTTCTTGAGAAAACTAACTCACGTCTTTACGACGTCTCTCACCACCATCGGCACCTTCCTCTCCATGCCAACTGCCCATGTCAGAGCTGTCGTTGACAAATTCGTCACCAACATCGGCCCTTCTCCTTCGACCACTGCCAGCACTTCGTCCTCCTTTTTTTTCATCAACCAACTAAAAAGCAATATAGATAATACAATACGATAAAATATAAACCCAAAACTACGTAAATTTAGGTTTAATTTCCCACTCAACTCCGGTATCCGCAAAAGATTCTTCGTCATTTGCACATATTCGTTTCTCATATTTGCCATTGACGCTTGCTTTTCTCGAAGTTCTTTCTCACGCTCCTCCATTTCTTGTGCAAGTTTCCTCCGTAAAGCCTCTCTTTCCTATGAATCGGTTATTTAAAAAAGCAATAAGAGTACACAACAGTAACACTGAATTCGATAATGAATAAGACTTACAGCTTGCTGCTTCGCTCGTTGTCGTTCATCCTCTTCATCTCTTTGTTGAGCACGCGCTAGGTATGTCTGCGCTTGTCTCAATAAATCAGTACATGCTCTGGCCTCTTCACCAGCATGTGTTCGTGAAACATAACGAGAGCTAGCCAATGTGTCATCACGAGTCGAAGCAATGAAAGAGAACATTCTATAAACATGAGATATCAGTCAAACCATGGTAAAGCTTTGTGATAAAATCGAAACCTCTATTACAAAGTTCGTAACGTTCCTCTAACGTAGTCACAGAGTGAACTCACCTTTCTGCGGTTTTTAAATCAGCCATTGCACCTCTTACTTGCATCGCGGTTGACTTGACCTCTTGTAACACTTCAGTAGCCGTTAGTTTAAGAATAAAAGCATAGTTGAATTTAATCAAAACATTATCAGGAGCTTCCATCATTGCCTGGAACATGAAAAATGCAGAATTAAAAGCAGTAAGATCGTGGTGCAAATATGTTGCACTGAGTAGTATTTGATCCACCGTGTAAACTCAGTGCACCGTCAATGAATGAAGAGATGAAGACATGGAATGAAGTAAAAGAATCTGACAGGATCAGGATATCGGCAAATAGTGTAGAAAGCTCCATGCAAAATGTTCCGATCCCTCCTTATCAATAGTAATTTCCACACGTCGACATTCTACTGACTTAATGGTGGAAAAAACAGAGCTTTTGCTAGAAAGACAAAAATTTCTTTATTTTACCAATATGAAGCTTCGATTTTCTGTGGCTCACTAAACGTATTTCCTTAATTTTTTTTGCATCGAGACCACTATTTCGAACATCAGAACGACTGAACAGTCAAAGGTTTTGTACACCAGAACAGGGTGGTGCTTTCCAATGTTACGTTGCTCGGTCCAACCATGTTTGCGTTGGAAATTTTGAAAACTTAAAATTTCTTTTTAAATCTTCGTAAATATTAATTCTAAACATTTTTCTCAAAACTGAGGAGTAGGGAAATTATAGGTACCATTAAAACGATACAGTAAAGCCTTTTCTATAGATCTATGAAGTTCTAAACTCAACAACTGCAGTTGTCGTAGAAATATTGGCACTTCTTAAAAAATCAATATCGCTGTGTCATGTGTTAAACAGAAGTAAAAAATCCTAGGAGAACAGATTGACTGAACATGTAACATACGTTTTCCAGTGCGTGAAGACTATCGGGCAATCTTCCAGCTTTATAATATGCTCTTGCAAGATAAAGTAAAGCTTGATGATCTTGTTCTTTAGAGAACTTCTTTATAGCGTTGGAATACCTGAATTGGCTGCGTAAACACCAATAAATGCTAAAAATCCTAGGAAGAAGAAAACCAAGCAAATTCCTGCTATATTTCTAACACTCCAGTACACTCACGATCAAAACATAAAGGTTTAACTCACATTTGTAAAGCGGGAACATACTGGCCCAGTTCGATATAAACATGAGCGATATTCATCCAAACATCGTAAAATTCTGAGGTAGCCTCACGAACTTGTGCAAATATATCACGGGCATCTTGCCACATTGACTTGGAAGCCAACACACATCCTGAAATTCTTAAAATAACTTTCGAAAAATCTCTTAAGAATAATTAATACCAATTTCAGTAAACGGAAGACTAATCGGCACGAAATGATGACTGCTACTATATAAGAGGTTACCAATTCCATTTGCCGCCCAAATATTCTTTGGTTCAATCTTCAGCGCTTTCCCAAACATCTGAAGTGCACGGTCCATATACTTCGTCTCTTGACCCTAGTAATAATTATGGTACAATGATTCATATTACCTACCCATAAACAGGCTAATTCCAAACAAAGCTAAAATTGTTTTAACAACAGGCAAACACAACGAGTAACACCTAATCACCCCTCCAACAGCTACTTTCTCTTAAAAAATTCGATCCTAGGAATTGCTGCATGATGTACAAGCAAGATACTTCCGATTTATGAAAGGAGCGCGGTCACTAAGATAAAAGAATATTTTAGCTTGACAAGCATTACACTTTCCCCAGTCGTACTGAATTTTATTAAACGAATATGATTACATGATGAACGAAGTCTATCAGGGGACAGTCACCTAATACCGGATATCAAGATGATACCGCTCCGCGCCTGCCTACGATACAACCAAAAAGATCTTCGTTCAGTTCGAGAAGTATGCGACGAAGGAATACCATTGTGCCCATTATTTGGCGGACAACCTTTGGAGGAGAATAGTGGGTGAGTCACTGTTGATTTGCAACTCTATTAGGTCAAATCCTAAAGCAATTCTGCAGAGAAAATTCGAAAGCCTGTTAAGTGAATCGCATAACACGGCTTCAAGAAAGCATATAAACACCGCTAACGAAAATCAAAGGAGTCATGGTAGAGTAAATAATGTTCCAGAAACGTGAAAACTTACCGCGTCAGAGTTATGATTTTTAAAATTAGAATTGAACCCTAGTTTTTTACCAACCCAACCCATTCCTAAAAAAACTTTTAGCAGGTTCGCGTGCAGTTTACATGAAGAATGAGAATGAACAACAAGAATAGGGGGTATTACCACCACCACAGTTTCCTTAAGCGTTCCTTAGACAACAAGACTCTAACAATGAAGATGATAGCAATTTTCGTGTTTCTGCAGACGAAACTCTCAAAATCCCTAACCACTTCTGTGACAAAAAGCTTCGTTCCAACCCTATAGCAGCACAAGTGTGGTACGCAACAGCTACGAGAACTAATAAAAACAAAACGTGTTGGACTATCAATTAATGGATGGAGAATTTGTAGTTATTTCTTGTCTGCTAGCTGTTGAGATAACAGAGAAACATCTTAAAAACGTAATTGAACACGGAATTGAGAAAAGTGGCAAAAGTGGGTAGTTTAGAACCACAAGTTATTACGCAACTTAAAATTGATTTACAACATGTCCCGTCCAACACTTATCAAAACTCATAAGTCGGCATCCACTGATGATTTGGCGTCCACCGACCCCATCCAACCTTCAACGTTAAACTCATGATTAGTTGTGTACACATTCCTACGGATAGAACAACGTTGTTTATAAACCTGTTACTCATCCATTTGTTGAAACACATCCGTCTATCTCATGGATATCCAAGTGTTCGTGATAGTCTAGGTAACACGCGTCCTTACAACGGGTTAGTGACGGAGTCCTTCCACGTTACTGCCCTTTGTGCTAACGCCTTGAGTGATTCCGCAATGCAAGCCATCAGCGAGCTTCTTGTGCACCACGAAAAGGTAATAAACACGTATGGCTTCTCGATTCAGCATCTCATGGCCTTTCCAAAGGTGTGCTTAAAGTGCCCGGTCTTAAGATGGTCCCGGAAATATTAGGCACAAACTGGAGGGTTGGCAATGGGAAACCAAGTCTTGTTATTGCCTTTATGTCTAAGGTGGAAGCACCAGTAATCGATCTCCGACCATTACTCCACTGCAGATGATCGTTTTGTCATCTACTCATACAAGAGGAAATGGAGATATCTTCTCAGTTATTAAATGAACAGTCAGAGTACATAACACTCACCCAAGATAAAGCGAAACAAAACTGGCTTCCATTTCTGAGTATTCAAATTAGGCCGAAAAATTATCCGAAAATGGCTACATCACCAAGTAATACCGAAAGCCAAGTAACAAAAATATACAGGTTCATTACCTCTCTTCTCAACTATTACACATAAAAGGAGAGTTTGTGAGAAACACGTCTCAAACAGCCATTAGTGCGAGCACAGTAAGAGAGCGGAAGGAAGAATCCTTAAAATCGGGGCGGCAAATAGCTATTTCCGATGGTTAAGTAACTGTAGCTCCTCCGAACAGGCATAGGAAAAGCCACGATAACTCTAGTAAGAATAAGTTCTCGTTTATCCCGTCCTCCATTTTTAAAGAAATAAGTCAGCTATAAAAAGGTACTTAAAAGAGCCAGCGTAGAGAACTTGGTAAGAATGGTTGACATAAAAACCCCCAAACACTCTCAGAGGCCTGCTAGTTCGTAACCACCTGTAAGACCGCTTATGAACAACGCAAAATTGCATAAAATGCCCTAACACTAAAGACGGTGATAGCATGAGTTCGGGTACGGTTTATCTGATCTCCTGCAAAACGTGCTGGATAATACACTTGCGAAACTGTTAGAGCAGACTGCCTCCGTATAAAAGAACATTTATTCGGTAACTTCATTAGGGAGGGTGCATGTAATGCAGTGGTTAAGGGGGCTCTGCGAAACATATGGGACCGATTCCACTTTCTACGCCCATCAATTTTCCCATCTCTCCGAGGTAAACACATTGGTAGACTATTGCGAGACACTGTATAGGCCAAATATGCATTCAATCACATCTAGCGATCTCTGGTGAAGTCGAAAGCATGGCGCATCCACTAGGGATTGGTCGACCCCGACAGCTTTATCCTTTATTTTATACGCCACTTGGCTCGTAAAATATACAGAGAAATAACGAAGATTTTGAAGTAAAAGTCATTATACTCTCACAGTATACCAAAACATCAGTGCGTGAAACTCTTAAAACGCTTTAGACACATTTCAAAAATCCAGAAACGAACAGCAAGGAGGAGTGTCTTACTATCACGCGTGACCTCGCTGTACACCTCAGGCTGATTTTTCAATTTAGGGCAGGCACACTCCTCATCCATGTAAGACTCTGTGCGGGTGGTCTCCGCTTGATAATTTAAAGACTTACAAAGAACAAGACGACGAGCGTTTAAAGGAAGATACTTGTTATGAGAAGACAAATTTATGCATTGTACTAAAATTTATCGGTCACGAAGGTGCTAGACATAGCAGATTGCATATCAATCTGACCTTTATAGGCTCTGCAGAAGGCGAAATCGTCGCAATATATCAGCTATTGTGAATAAATAAATGCTCTTGTAACAACTTCGTGTTTGTTTATCAAGTAAACTTTGAATTATATTAGGTGGGCCCTCATAGTGTTAACATAAGAATTCAGTTCATAAAAAGTGCAGAATTAGAACTGTGATAACATACTTGGATATCCGTCTTTTTTCGACCAAGATTGAACAACATCTCCATCCAAACGTTTCCCAATGATACCCAAGAATACGCATCCTCTTTATCCATTTTGTTCAAAACTTGTTCGAACTTCTTCTGTCCAGGACCCCATCTAAAAAAACTCACTTAATCACTAGAGCTCTTATAACAAGTTTGACAATAATGTGTGATTGAAAAAGCAAAATTCAACTAACTCGTGTTTGGACATGTGTAGATTTCCAATAAGGACCCATGAATCAGCATTATTCTGATCTACGGACATAGCTTCTTTGAACCATACTGATGACTCGTAAATCTGTCCTCGATCACGAGCTAGACACCCAAGACGAAGATAACCTGGTACGGTAAAACTATTGCATGGAAAACCAAGATCTGGTCCATTAGCATAATGTTGAAAAAAATTGGTGGTCACAGATTACTACTAAGTAGGCGTTTGTATCGTATAAAAATCAAAATTGATATGCGGAAAAGTATTGAATTATTCAGTTCTAATGAGAGTCTTAACTCTTTTATCTACTGCCTTTTTCTTCTTAATGGCAGGGTATGTTGCGAAATATAACTCGTATGAAATGCTGAGATATTTGCAAAACTCCGGACCACAGGTGTATGCAATGGAGAACGAACACGCGCTGCTCCCCGGTAAGGACAACAGCGCGTGTTCGTTCTCCATTGCATACACCTGTGGTCCGGAGTTTTGCAAATATCTAATGAGAGTATAATACGAATAAATTCCAAACCATACAATCCGTGTAGTTTTCCTGTTCTCTAAGAATCCCCTTGTAAAGCACTTCAGCATCCTCAAACAGACAAAGATGTTCCAAGCAGCGCGCAAGATTGTATCTCATCGTAATGACATAAGAAGACAATTTTGAGTCACAAAGATCTCCTTCCAAATCTTCCTGAAATAAACCGTGCAAACAAACAAGCATGTAGTTTAAATATACGCACTTTAAGTGGTAAATTGTATAGAAACCTGAAGCTTTGCTTCGGCAGCTTCGAAATATTCCTTTGCACGTTCATACTTCTCCATAGTCATATGCAATGCACCGATATTGTTGAGTATTGCTGCTGGAGCATCCATTTGGCCATCCTCACTTGGTTTAATCAGCTCACAAGCTGTTTCGTAAAGAGATAGTGACTTCTAAAACATTTGTTTAAAAAGTGGCCAAAACTTTATACGCGATACCTGTACCATGTTTGGCAGAAGTAATACTAGCCTGTGGGTCAACGCCTTCAAGTAGTTGTGCTAAATCGATTAGGACTTCCACATCGTTAGGGAAGACCTCTAAAACCTTCGTCAGCATTTCCCGAGCTTTCTCTTGTCGTTCCTATCATGAGTATAATTAAATATGAAAGACAGATGGCAAACAGACTACACAAGATCACTAACGCATTCGCAACTGCCCAGATTTTCCAGTCATTGAGGTGATTGAAAACATGGGAAAAATGTGTTCTAATCAATTCAAATCGAGATTCAAAAAAATTCCCATCAATCCATTAAAAAGATTTTAAGGTTGTTAACAAAAGTATAAATACGTAATCGCCATTACCACTGTACCAACATAGGCGAAGTATCATTGTTTTCGTCATTTTACTGTGGGATGAATAGGAGCGTCGATGCAGAAAAAGCGAAAAATGGACTTTTATTCTCCAGAAATTCAGAATTTGATCTTGATAGAATGGGAACCTAGAGTGGAAAACCTTTAACGTGTTGGCAAACATTTACCCTAATGCCCTTTCGCTTCGGTGGATGTAGTACAGTGGTTAAAAGTACCCTGCAACGCACAATTAATTGTTGGTTCGATCCCACACACCGGGCTAAGTTTTCCACAACTCGAGGTCGGCAAAATTGGTAAGACGGGATAGCAGCACTGACTTGGCACATTGGTAGGCCATTATGAATAAACCAGAAATGGATTCAAGCACCTCTACCGATATTTAATGAAGTCGAATGCATGGTGTATCTCTCAGGGATTGATCAATACCGAATGCTTTATTCTTCACCCTTTGAATTTTCTTTCATCTCAATTGTTAAAACTTACAATGAGCTCAGATGTAGTGGCTTAGTAGATGGTCTCGTAAAAAGTTGTCCTCTATGTCTAGGAATTCACAAGGAACCTTTCTTTTAAAAAACTCACTAACCAAAAATTCTGCTGGTAAATTGATAATTTGTTACAATTTATGATGAATCACCTTATCGTACGGAATGAGTCCGCAAATAAAATACTGGAATAAAACATAACTTGCAAATACTCGCGAATGAAGACTGCAATGCTACTGAGTGATTGACCATACAATAGCAATCTAACAAAATGTAAACAGTAACATATACATCAGGTATACTACAATGAAGGAGCAAAGTTTATTTTATAATTTTCAACCTTCTGGTTACCGATGGATTGTCATCTGTTGTCCGAAAACCAACAAGTCTGTAATCGACACGGAATTATGTGTCGTTTCACGAGGTAAGTAACTAAATAAAGGATAAAGCTCTCGGCGTTGATCAATTCCTCAGGAATGCGCCATACATTCAACTTCACTAACCATCGTTTAGGGGTAACTGAATGCATATCTGGCTTTTACAAAGACTCGCTGTGACCTACCGATGTATCAAGCCAACCCTACTATCCTCCTACACAAGTTTGGTACCGATTTGCCGATCTCGGAGGGATGGAGAGCTTGGTGGGCCAGAGGCGCGAGAATCGATGTCAGTTGTATTGCAGGACACCTCCGACCACTGCGCCACACCCGCTCTGTGCGCGTTTCACGCGGCAGGCAAAAAGAAATTGAAGCGTTTAGCGTCAAGAAAGTGGGACTTGAAAACACATGGACATGTATGGACATACGTTTACACGTTTCAGAATCAAAATGATAAAAACAAAAGAAAAATATGTCGCTCTATTAACAAACTAGAGTGATAAAGGAGAACGCACTGCATTCCCCGAATCGGTATGAGCGTAAAGAGCGGCTAGCACTTTCATTGTATCCATATTATTCGGCATAGACTTCAGCACAGTCTCGAACGCAGTAATTGCCTGCAAATAGTTTGAACAACGTCCTCAACTCATGTACAACTGCTTGAGTTTTTCTTTTTTTTTTTAAACAATCTCTGATAACTCTTCGATAACTAGCGCACGCAAAGGTGGAAGAAATTCTTGAAAGAGTTCCCAACCTATCATTACAAAGAATACATTTCAATAAACATGATTTTTAATTTCAAGCAGAGTTGTTAAAACATTTCTTCAAGCTTTTAACAGAAGAAAAGCGGCCGCCAATAATAACGACGCTATATATGAGGTATTCCGCTTGCTAACAGAACTGCGTTACTCGACAGGTGAACCTTAAAAAGCAAAAAACGAGTAAATGGCATCAGAAACTTAATACTTGTGGTAGTTGAACCTGTAGCTTGACGTGTGGTAAAATGAAATCTAGTGCTCTAATCGAACTCTCAGTTTTAACAAGTAACAGCTGAAATATTCGTTGTTTAAAGGTTAGATGATTATCGGCAACTTGGGGACCAATATGTACATGTCATAGTTTACCAGTCAGTTACCAAGCATATTGAATGAGATATAAGACAGCGTAGCAATTAAACATTAAACGGCATTATAGGAATTTAGAAGCAAATGGACTTGGCAGAGGTACGCACATAACAATCTAGGAGGTAAATAATGATTCAGAATGCTGCTCATGAAACAAACTAATTCTTAATGACCATACCTGACTAAATTCACCCCGCATTATGTAGAGTTGGCCAAGACCGTACTGCGGTAAAACAAAGGTGGGATGATTCAACGTTGTGGCTTGATAATAATACTGGAACGAAAATAGTTCGAAATTAAAAGCACAATTCAAAAGAAACTTAAACTTAAGGCAACAAAACATATAACATCTGTAAAACAAACTTTAAACGCCTTTTCATAATCACGATTATAATGGAAATAGCGAGCTAAAATGTAGCACGCTTCACCCTTGATCTCGTCACTTTCTGTCATATTCATTGCGTGCCAAGCAAGTCGCTCAACCTTTCCCATCTCCTAAAATTGTAAAAAAAAGTTGACTGCTTAGTAAAGAACTGTTTACTTATTAAACAGCAACTTCCTAAGTAAAGGATGTAGCCCTGTAAATACTATTAAAGGGAAAAATACGTTTGGACTACGACAACAGCAACAATTGTTTTTTTAAACTTCTTCGATCTAAAACCATCTTAGTACGATAAAAGAAAAAAAAACTACGATCAATAAGTAACTAACCCCTTTAAAGAAGAAATGATTTGCCAGATGAACAAGCACTACGGGGTTTTCTGGTTCCAAGCTGTAGGCCTGACCGAGACAAGCGACTGCACTCTGAGCGCCTTCAACTGTGTGCGTATTGTAGTCGAGAATAGCTAAGGCAGACAATGCACAGACATTGTCGTTTTGTAGCTCCAAAGCACGCTCGAAAGCTATTCTGAACCACTGCTCATTGTAGGGCAAAAAAGCAATTCCCAAGTCCGATTTTCTATTAACCTCTGCATTGATTGAATAATTCTTTCTACTTCTGTAAAGCACAAACAGAAGTAGAAAAAAAACGATGTTTTTACCATTAATGAAGAGCATTTTCAAGAGTTCAACAAGACAAAAGAATAAAGGATAAAGCTCTAGGTGTTCATCAATCCCTGAGGGATGCGCCATGCATTCGACTTCACTAAGCATTGTTAGAAGTGAATGAATGCATATCTGGCCTTTACAATGGCTCGAGGTGGCCTACCGAAATATCGCGCCAGTGCTGCTATACTCCCAGAGAAGCCTGGTACTAATTTGCCGACCCCGGATGGATGGTAAGGCTTGGCGAGCAACGGACGCGGAGACCAATCTCGTCTGTTTGGTCGCCTCTGACCACTGCGCTACACGCGCGAACAAGCAACAAGGAGAGGGAAATCTTTAAATATAAGCTAACTACGTTAATTATAAAAGTAAAATAAAACACCTTGCTTTATCAGTCAATCCTAATCTAGCAAGACAATAGCCAATACCGACTCGTATATCTGCGGGACCATCGGGTTTTTGTCGTAGAGCCTAAAAACCTACGATTAATTCAATAAGTAGTTTTCCATTTATATCTAAAAACGGGGCTTCCATATACTCTGTTAAAATACACACCCTTTTCAAGAAATACAATGCAGTCTTGTAATCCTGCTTACTGAACGATATTATTGCTTTACCCATCATAGCCGGAATATCATACGCATCCTGAAACAAGAATGAGCATAAGCTTAGTCCTTCCCAAACGTTCGAAAAAGTGGACATTACATCCAAGAGCGCAACATTTGAAGTACCTGTTTCAAGACAAAATTGAACTGCTGATCAGCTTGATCCACTTTACTTGCTCTAGCTTCGACAAGACAAAAATACGCACGACCAGTCAAATGCGGCATATCATACATTTTTATCCTATCTGCTGTCGTGTACAGTAAGGTGGCCTTAGAAAAAAGGTCTCGTTTCCTCTCCTTGGAATTCCGTTCTTTATGTCCCTATAATGATTAATGCTGAGATGGACTTAAACGAAAGAGGTGAGCTCTCAAATTAATATATTATTTGAAGAAATAAGCAAACCTACCAATCTAACATAGTATGCAGCTAGAATATCCAGTGCACGCATCTGGTCATTCTCAACTTCGGGATAATCCAAGGAAGCCTCGCTTCCAGAAACTTCAAGTAGACGGACAAAGTCATCCACACGTCCACAGCGATAGTACTCCAGCTGCAGCAAGAAGAATAAAGGTTTTTGGGCAATGTTTACGTAAAACATCTCAACTGGGACTTCTCAGCTTCCAATAAGTCTTCCAACCTGAAATTAATCGGAAATAGCAACGTCCACTTACTCCTAAATCAATCCAGAAATGAAGCGATGCTTTTTCTGCCCGTAAAATTTCCAGAACTTCATCGCCTTCTGGAAGAGCATCGAAAGAGATTTCTATTATCTCCTGAAAAAGAAAAAAAAACAACAAACTTTGGCTCATCAAGGAAAGAAATAAAAACAATAGAAAAAAAGTGGCGAACTGACAGCAGGAAAAATCGGCACATGCCTCTCTTTGCAAACCGTAAAGGTTTATGGCTAACGGCTTCATTAGCTCTAACAAAACACATATGCTTAGTAACCGCAAATACAACGAGAATGAGACACGAATAATTGTGTTCAACAACTTTTGCTACATTTCTGTACAAACTAAGGCAAATAATCTGGAAAGAAGATTATGGTCAACAAATGGCTCATATTTATAAGTAAGAACGACGGCACTGAAAACATCACGATTCTCGTACTCAGCTATATCAGCTAAACCGGCTTCTCTCGCATTAACTTCACGATCATACATGCTTACTAAAGCCGGGACAATGTCTGCAAGGGTATACAGAATATTGGAAGCAATAGGTCCAGGATTCGGACACAACTTCACCCAGGCTTCGATCCGAGATTTCGCAGTATTAAGCTTCGTGACGATTCGACGAAGCCCCTGGACTAAGTCACCTAACTCCTCTGCATCACGGATTATCTCATTAATTATACGATGTCTGGCATCCTTATCAAGCATAAACGTCTCTGTTTCATGAGCACTCGAAAACTGATCCACCTCCTGTCTTGAATATATAATTCGCAATTTGTTATTGATCAAACGTTCAAGGACTGTTGATGAATGTAACGATGTGGTTACCCAATTCTGCGTTAAATTCCAAACTTCTATTGAGAAACGACGAATTTGTTTCAAATCTTTTTCCTGAATGAATCCTTATATGCATTCAGTGATAATACTTTTCATTACCTATAAAATTCAGAACCAACCATCCAAGAAAGAAACGTAAACTCTTTACCCACATCCTCAACGCTGTCTCTCAGTGGAATCGAAACTGAACGGGACATGCCTCTGCAGCGGCCTGGCAATAGTCACGAAATAGAAGAGTTGAATGAGGAAAATCCGGAAGGATTCACTGCAAAACTAACATAAGATTACACATCCGTAGAGAAACACTTCCTACAGCCCTGTGGGACCGGAATTTGAAGCGGTATAAAGTAAAAATATGCATTAAGAACACCATACTGTAATGTAAAATAAAATTAACACAAAGGTTCCTAAGCGACATACCCGAATCATCCCAAGAAAAGATCCAAGAATAATCTGCGGGAAGACGAAATTAAAAATTGAAGCACACGGCGCGAGAAGAAGTGTGGCTCGTGCGATTGCGGACACTATCTGATATTGACGACATGTGGCCAACGTTCAGCCGGTTGTCCTTCAACCCTAGAGCACGGTAGTCCTGTCTGCAATCGGCTAACTCTTGAGGACATTGACAAAGTCTGCTTTAATATTGTCGTCGACTGCAGCTTCTCAGCGGACATCACTCAATAGACACGGAGAAAACCACACTATTGCTCTGTCCCTAACTTTTACTGCTCCTGATGAGAAAATAACGACCGGTGTCTTCATTTTACCATAGGTTTCCTTTTAGTTAGACTTCCAGATAGCAGTGTTAATCTCCTTCACGGCTTCGTTCATCCTGTTGAGGGATGAAACTCTACTGCGTATTGTTGTTCGCAACATAGGAATCTGCGCATCTCTGATGAGGAAGAGGTGGTGAAAATTGGAAGAGGAATTTTTGTAGAAGTTTGCTTCTGCTTTTACAAGTTCTGTCATCTTCCAGGTGGCCAGACATCATTGTCTCCTGCTTGCTTGTTAGCTCACGGCATGATTGGCCGCATGTATTACTTTGTATTACTGTTCTATTACAACGATATTCTTCCAGACATATTCGCGACGACACGCTATTTTCGAGAAATGCTGCATGGGAAAACGACATACTTTGTTTCCATCGTATCATATGAGCTACACTCTGGGTCGTTCGTCGGCTAGATCAGGCGCCTCATCCTCACCCAGCCTTCGTTCATTCTAGGGTCGGCAATTTGGTACCACACTTGTCCATGAAAAGGACAATACTAGACTGATGCATGGGTGTGGAGATATTGCAGTGGTTAGTGATGCCGTCGATCAGGAAGCAAAGCCGCTAGTTTTACCCCACCGAAACGCACTCCCCTAGTTCACGTGGGAACGCCCTAGTCCAGCTATCCCATGATTGCAAGGAGAATTGTATCGACAAGCATTCTACGGCATTCATGAAAAAGATGGAATTTTTAAACAGCAACTGAAACAACACGCGAAATGTACTGTACAGGCCAGCTATGCGTTTTACCATCTACAAGATGTTTGATTAAGTCGAATGTATGCGCATCTCTCATCGATTGAGCAGCGCCGAACTATAGCGACTGTGTATAGATAGCATTTTCCATAAGTATCGAATGTTCTATATGTCTCCATGCATCGTTCATGTACTTTCTTTAATCTCCTCGTAATTGTCAACTCGTTGCCCAGTCATTATGTCATAGCAAATGGCTCATATCTTGTAGCTGACCTTTACTGTGTTGGTAAGCTCCTCACAAGCTGACACCTGCAGGATGGCTGCAAATGATTCACTTCCATAGCAGTACCATTTTGTTTTCAGCGAACGCATAGAGATCGCTAGCGCCTTTCTACATCAATTTGTTATACTGCTTGAACTTACCTGCTTACTCCTTCGATTTGCAGAGGCTGAGATAGTGCTAACTAACTCCAACACTCCGAAGTCATCGACAAATTAAAGTTATTGGCACTCACCATGTAACCATGTCCGTAATCTAGTAACCGCTTTAAATACTTGCGTCGCTCTATATAAACACTCCACAAAGGTCACTATTGCTACATCAATGCGTCTACTCATTATTCCGCTCCGCGTGAGTCCATCGATATCCGCTGCTGTACCTTTGTGATGTGTGATTTATGCTACTTAATACTTTGTCACTCTACGTAGTCCTCTTCCCCATTGCACAACTTAAACTATTATAAGCTTACATATCCCTTCTTATGTGCCCGTTTCTTCCATTTTTACTATTGCGCCACTACTGATGTGTTCTGTATCACGCGTGCTGCCCCTGTTATCATAGTCGCTTGTATTGTTCAAGTATTATCGTACCGTTATTATTGTACCAATATAGTCATTGTATGTGGCTGCTCAATTACCGAAGTTTGACGCCGGTCATAACGACACAGATAAAAGCTTCGCGTGACAAACTTGGGCGAGCACTATATTCCGAGCTAGTCATTCCGATTACTCCGACCCGTCACTATATCTATTGGTAAACTATCCTAACTTTTACACACTTCTCTACTTCCTAATTCTGTTCTGTGTTTTCTATGTTATTTGCGTATGTTTCTTGAGGTCAAATCCAACCTGTAGAATGCGTCATCACAACTGCCTTATGGTTTTGCCTCACTGGTGGCTGATATGTGCTTGTAATACCTTTGTATATAAACATGTGCAAAATCACTCGCATAGAACGACTACCTCCACTGTGCCAATATTGGCTTTCAATCAGTGACCAGTCAGTATATCTTTGTCTTTATCGCGCTTTTGCTTTACTTTGTTTTTGTTTACCAGAGACTGGAACATTCTTAACTGCAAGCACTCGTCATCTCGTGTTAGCGATTTATTAAAGCTGCTCTCAAATCCTTATATAAGCGCTGTACACTTTTATCATCACCACCTTCTTATCGTTGTTATATTTGGAGATTAACGTTTAATTACCCAATTTAAATGTTAGTTCTGCTAGAACTCGTATAAGTATCACCTAGCAACTCGTAAGAAGTCAAGAATTCTATACTGAGCTAACCAAAACATTTGCTGCTGCATCGGCCCATTCCATATTCCACGATAACACTTATTGCTTCATCTCTTCGCTTTATTTGGCCGCGCACAGGTTGTAATACGAACGTCCATCTCGTAGATGGTCACTTTTTAGGCATAGTATGGAGTCGTTCTCCGTTTATCTATGACTTCTCTTTCGGCCGTGAATATCGATGTATTTTAGAAAGCTTCGTTGGTATTATCCTATTTCTCAGTTGAGTAGTAGAATTCTTGGTCAAAAAATATGTGCGGAGATCTTGCTAATCAGTTCCTTTTACATGAGGTGAACATGGCACTTTTAATACCATGTTATGTTCCCCTTTCCAGTTTTCCTGTCGTTCTGCTAGCTCAACCAAAACCTCGTGTTGTTCACAGACCTGGTCTCTGTGAGTCGCCAAACAGTTGGAACTCATTTTAAGGGTTATAATGGAGAAGGCTATGCTAATGTATTTTTACGCCTTCGTGTCGTCAGCAATCTGCAACTGCTCCATAGCACCAGTCTACCGCGCACAAGAAGCACTATACGGATCGAACTATTTTTTTTTGTCGTCAGACACATTTTCATAGTGGACAAGTGTTCGAACAAGAGATGAGTGAGCAAAAGTCTTCTTAGGCACTCATCAATGTTCAACGTTAATGTTTCTTGAGTATCTCCCGTCATTTGTTCTCGCAAAAATTGGCGTTTTTCTTTCTAGAGAGCCCTAAGAAAGCCATGTCTGATTGACCCTAGATCTCTTTTCGTTTTATCTTCTAGATCATAGGTAATCAATGGTCTTTTTTATTCAGGTTTGCTGCTGCTTTATGAGTAAAATTCTTCAAAATCGGCAGCGATTACTGCGATCATTGACACCGCTGGCCAAATACAATATAAGAGGTCGAATCCGTCTTTAGGTGACAATGACTAGTGGCCGTTCAATGTTCGTTGTTTTTTTTTCACCAAACTTTAAGCTTTTCTTTTTCACATATTTCATTTTTTCGCGGTCGTTGTTTTGCGGGAAACGGGACGAATAGTTTGATCAAAAAAGTGAGATGCTCTTTGTGTGGCTCCTATTTCTTTCTCAAGCTGTAAGCTTTAATATAACCACAAGGATGCTGAAGAAGGAGCAAATCTCGGGACCGCAGGTAGAGTTAAAAGCTGGTTGAGAGAGAGGCAAATCAAAGGCCTCCGTTGGTGTGGTGGATAGCACGTGAACCCCTGGAAAGGTTAGTCGCGGGTCCGAAATCAAAGCAGGTTCTGAGTTCTGCTGATATTTCAAAATACTTATGGTTGCTTTTCAATTAATATCTTTCCGTTAAGGAAGAGTAAACAGTGAATAAAAGTTGAAATACGTTTTAATACTTTAAAAACTGACTCTCCTTTAGCTTCGGGGTGAATAATAAATATATGTTTAAATTGTGGGGCCTACACATAAATGTAATTCAACAATTTTTACACATGTTGATACGTTCTAATATTTTTTTATCGTCCATAATTTATAATCGAGTGAGCCTAGATCATGGCGTGGTGTTGTCATCATTATATTCGTGCTAATTTCCACACTTTTTCAGTTTTTTTTTTAACCTGTAACTGAACGAGTGGTGATTTAATATAGTACTGTTATGTTTCTGAAGTGGGCACTATATGGTCTTCTTTTCCTGGAGGACAATTCACTGCGAAAGAACTGGCAAATTAGTCTGTAGAAAATGTTTTCTCGTATTCTTGTTCCTTCGTAGCTGGGAAGTAACTTCATTTTAGTGCTGTGGATGTAGTGACTTAATTATCACTAAAAAAAAGCAGTGACACGATGCTCGGTGGCATTTTACTGACCGTCTTCTTGATGGGTCTTAGTGGTTTGATTTTTGTGTTTACATCGATCGCAGAATTGAAAATTTGAATGAAGATTGTTGGAATGTAGACACTCGATCATTTCCATCCATAGTGTGACCGCAACTATACTGAGATATTTTCGAAACTCCAGACCGCAGGTGCCCGCAGTAGGGATTGAACCCGCTATAACCCTTTCTGGGGACTAACGCGTTCACCACCAAACTATGAGAGTCCTTCGTTTCGCCTTTTTCTCAGCCGCGCATTTACCTATAGGTGCTATCAGCAGTGAAAAAGGAATAGGCACTAACAAAAAAATGGCTGCTTTTATCAACAATATTCCTTATTACCTGAGTTCGAGATCCGAACATAGTCATACTTAAAAAGTGCACAGTCCGTTATCGATTCAGAAAAGTAGGGTTGATAAAAATAGCAAACTGTCTGTTTTCGCGACCGTAGAATATCATTTTCCACACTTTTTCTTGGGCACAGGCAAGCTTCTGTTAAAATGTTGCACTTTAGAAGAAGGGATTTGGAACATTATTTAATCTGTCTGCTGTTTTGATCGTCTTCTCGGTGGTTTTCGTCTTTATTAAAATAGTGTCTTTCTATGTTGTTCTTATTGAGGTTACCTCAAGCTATTCCTTCCTCGTTTATTCGAGCAGCTTTTCATTATGCGGAAAAAATTGGATGGGTATCATCAGGAAAATACCACGCTCATTTGCCTCACATTTAGTATGGTGCGGTCTTTTCTTCGCACACCTTCAGCTTTACCGATTGTAGGGAATGTTGTTCTTGCTTCCCAGAAGGAACAATCGTTTCTTAAAACACATTTTTCGCTAGAATGCTGCACTATTGGATGGCCCAATAAAATTCGCACAAATTATGAAGCATTTTCATTTATAAGACGCAAGTGCAGGTCGCAGAAATGCATTCAATCATTCCCTGGCATAACGTAGCCAATGATTCCACAGGCAAGACGTGAGCCAGCGTTGCCTGTTGTGCGGCTTCCCTCGTTCCCACCTGTCCCCAGATCATCAACGTTGGCATGAATGGCGAAGGCTCGTCCGACAATACCACGCGTACCGGTGAAGGCAATGAGAGAATCCTGGATGTCAATCATTGTCGAATCATTGGCCTTAAAAATTACCTTGAAGATAATGATTTCAGAAGACATGTTGTTTTAGAGAAACTAAACTGTAGTTCACATTAATCTGACGTAATATTAAATTTTGCACCACTATTTATAAAAATGGTCTTCAGGCAAGTGAATGCGGTATGACCTTTTGTTAATACATCATAGTTGGGTAATTAAATTATTATTTTTATAGTCGGTTTAAACTGAAATTCGAATGATGCTTGATACCGTTTAGTTTTTTCTGGTATGAAATTCCTTATTTTTCTGTAGCATTTCTTGTAAATACGAACACGTAAAATTGAAATTTATATAAATAAGTCAACTGCTAAATGAGAAAGATATAGAACTCACTGGTGTCATGATGTTTCCAAGATCCCCGACATGTCGTCTAGACGGTGGGTTTACTGGTGAACCATGGTCTGATCTTAGGGGATTAAAGTGGTTACCTGCTGCTAAGCAGCCGTTTCCAAGATCGCCGAACTCATGGACGTGAAAGCCGTGTGGACCTGGTGATAGACCATCCACACTGCCGATGATCTAAATGGTCACAAGAGTTAAGTCACTTGCTACTTATTCAGCGTACCAAATGGTCTACGCGCTTACCGTCACCACACCATTGCGTTCTGTCAAGTCCAGAACTCCAATTGCGGTGCTTGGGTTTCCACCAGTCACAGCTCGATAGATAAGGGCACGAGCTCTTGGTACTAGAGGAAATGCGATAGACTTCAAAGATTTTTGGTTTGCATGTTCTTGTAATGGGCGATGGTTTTTTAAAATTTTGAACAAGTTGCTTTAACTGTAATGAGTATCTCTTATAGCATTGACATTAACATTGGTGAAACATTTTTTTGTTTTCATTATGAATAGCGCAATCTCCTAATTAACTGCAAGTTGAGAGAAATGCTTTTAACCAAGATAATGCTGAGATATTGGCAAAACCCCTGATCGCAGGTGTCTGCGGTGGGGGACGAACGCGCTATTGTCCTTTCCCGGGAGCAACGCATTCACGAAGTAATTTACTGCCGTTAAAAATTGTAGTAGGCAGTAAATAGAAAGAAGGTTAAGATTGTGATTTCGACTTCAGCCTCAGCTTAACTAGGTTCCTTGCCGATTTGGGTTCCCTAGATCAGTCCCGTTGACGGGTGATTGCTGATGGCGCGGATCAATAGAACTGGCTGAGAAACAGGCGAAACGAAGGACCCACATGGTGTGGTGGTGAACGCGTTACACCCTGGAAAGGACAATAGCGCGTTCCTTCCCCACCGCAGACACCTGCGGTCAGGAGTTTTGTCAATATCTCAGTATTATCTCAGTTGTATTTCACATCATACCCTACCATTAAAAATTGTAGTAGGCAGTAAATGAAAAGAAAGGTTAAAAAATGCTTTTAGCACTGTTGCTATTGTATGATTGAGGGATAGTTTCACCTCGAACCATTGGACCGCAGCATGCTGCCATTGGTAAGAAGGCCAGAGAGGCTAAGAGCAGCATTTTTGTAGCCGTCATTAGTGAACCCGAATCGAAGGACTTACGAGAGCGAAGCGATAGATCGTGTAGACGGTCGAATGGAAGCATTTAAATACAAGAGCACCGTATCCACAATATTCTTCATATTTGGGACTCCGCCCAAGCCAGTATGGTAATCTGACGGAGACTGAAAGTAGTTAAATTTTATGGTAAGTCGCGGAATCGGATCTGACTACATTTCGGCATTCACTCCTTACTATTTGTTTACATGAACGGTAGAGTGTTCTAAAGTTAAACACTATAACTTTGCATTAGATTGAGGTAGAAATGCGAACTGAGCGCAGCACGAGGCTTTTTAAAGCACGTGTTGGACTTCCATATCAGTTGGACAAAACGTCCATTAGATCGTGATTAAACATGAGTGTATTATTTATTCTATACTAGTTGGACAGCCAGTACTTTTTGGAATCTTCAGGAATTCGAACACAAATGAAAAGAAGTCCTTGTCTGACAGGCTGTGAAGATCCTCATTGTCATTGAAAAAGTGTATAAATCTCATCGATTGGGAATGTACACTAAAGCAAAGTCACCACTTCTAAAGAGGTTGCCGATTTCCCTCTGCATGGATCATATTTGCACCGCTTTGCAGAAAACATGAAATAGTTCGGGAAATCAGGATGTCGTTCCACAATACTACCATATACCACTAAAAATGTGGATTAGGTTTAGGCTTAGGGTGAGGCGGGTTTGGTGAGATGACCACCTAAGCCACGCAAAATTTGGCTTACGATGTTCTACGAAATGCATCATAGTGACAATCGCGCAATATTCTAAAGCTCTGTAAAATGTCTTACTGAGGTGAGTAAGTTGTACTGATGTTGTCATTTCAGAAACGAACTTTTTCATAGGGATTACTTGTATGGTTTCCAAATCTGGCATTCAGTACAAGTAGAGAATTAAAACATGCATTGGATCGTGAATAAACATGAAGGTGTAATTTAATGTGGTGTTGTGGCGTTTACATTTTGAATACCTTCGTAAAGAATGAAATTTGATTCGCAATCAGCCGAATATCGTGAGCATTTACAACTGATGGTAATGACGGCCTACCGGTACATAACTCTATATTCCAACAAAAAAGGAAAGCTTTATAGAAAGTCACGTTGAACAGGTGAAGCTGCATTGTGTCGATTTGCTTGGTATTCGATTATGGAGGAGAGCAATAGCTTCAGGTTCAAATACACATTGTCACCATGTGATTACAGCTCCGTTATATTCAATTTTAGTGATGCATTGCAATATAACCGGTAGATGATGGAATCTCTCAATTTGTTCTCTATCTAACTGACTGGCGCTCTAAGAGTACGTGGTGTGAAATCGTCGTGTCGTTTAAAATGATCAAGTAAGACCGAATTCGAAGCGATCATCATTGCCGAAGGCCAAGGAAATGGTGACCAACGCATGCATGTTTATGGATAGACCACTTGCAACTACACATTGTTGCCCTCCAACAGTCGGTCTCTTCTCCAAGCCTCAGTGACATACAATTGGTCGTCCAATTATCTGTCTTATATCAAATTAACTATGCATATCTGCTTATCCTTCATATTCGACCATCATTTTAAGACAAAGTCGGTAGTACTTAGTACTGTGTTGATGGTTCGGAAATGGAATTGCCGTAGCTCTTGCATACAGTTAAGCAATATTACTCCCGTGAAGAACATGGAGAAGTCAATTTAGTCGTCGTACAAAACCAATATGGTAAAGTTCCCGCCTCATACTGGTTTACGTTCCTGGAAAAGGTGTTCGCCATTTGATGGGATGACAGGATGGGAGATGTTGATTGAAGTCCATTGCGCTATGTGATTTCTTCCGTGCGACCCTTCTGCAGCGGATGGTTTATTCATTTTCTGATTTTTGACATACGAATTTTTTTTTGAACATACAGATTCCTCCAGATTTCCAGACTCTACTTGGCTCACCTTTCCGATTTGTTCCCAGGATCAACTTTCCATTAACCTCGGCGTTGGAAAGTGAACGCGTCGTTTTCTTGTTCAGCAATCGCGAGGTTGCTATACAGCACATTTACTTCCGTAGAAAAGCACAGTACAGTACAACAGTAGCTGACATTTCGGCAGTGTCTCCTTATTCAGAGGCTGGAAGTTTATAGTGATATACAATTTATTAGACTAAATGCTTCAATAACACATGCAAGATCCCTAAAATGAATAGCAGGGGGAACGCCTAGAGGTCACAGGTGACCTGGTCCTGTATCTTCACGTCAATTTCTGATGAGGTGTCGTTCAGTCATCAACAATATACGACTATAATCAGCTGTTCTAATCTTACTCAATGTGATTGCCATAGATTTTTTCGACTTTTTGTAAGTGTTATTGAAGCGTTTAGCCTAGTAAATTGTGTATCACTACACTTTTCCAATCTCTGAAGAACGCAATACTGCCGAAACCTCGGCTACTGTTGCACTGTGATGTGTGATTTTCTATGGAAGTAAATGTATTTTGTGTAACAGTCTCGCGATTGCTGTAGAAGAAAACGACGCATTCATTCTCCAATTTGTGTTTTTTCCGGGTGAAAGAATCACTGCTTTGCCAAGAGCAATTCTAGGTGTCACCTGTACCACCTGTCTCCTGCAGTCCCGTTGACCATTGAGTGACTCGAGCGGGCGCCAGTAAGTCTTCCATTTTTCTTTCTACTTCTGTTCAGCAAACACGAGGTGCTATTTTATTTCTTCATTTACGTAAAAGCTGACGTTTCAGCGGATTTCGCCTTCCACAGAGTCTGGAAAGGTCAAGTTGACAGCAATCTATTCGGCCAAACACCTCCATAACCAAACAGGGAAAACGCTAAACCAATTTCATTTTTCCCTGTCGCGTGCAAGAGTAGCCCAGTAGACTCTGCTCGCTCTAGGGACTCGTTGAGCATCATATCTTTCTTCAAGGCTCCTTGTGAAGAACTCTGATCATCCGGTTGGTGGTCTTCTTGCCGTACATTAGACATCCCGAGGGATCCAGCCACTAACGGCTCTTGTCCATCGGTTGTCATTCGTACGCATTACGTGTCCGGCCCATCTTATCTTCTACTGCTTGGGATACAGAACGGCATCTTTGATTTTTGATCGTTGACGCTGATTTGAGCTTCGAATCCCATCCCTTACTCGTGTGAAGCGAGATACTCCTAGCATCGTCCCTTCGACTGCGCGTTCGATAACGCTGAGTGATCCTTCATCTTGCGTACGCAGCGACCAAGTTTCTGACGCATACGTAAGGGCAGGAAGCACCGTTAAGTCGAAAAGATGGGCACGGAGTCGGGTGTTCTTTGTTCTCTTCACTACATCCTCGATGCTCTTGAAAGCTTCCCAAATCGCTCGTTTCCTTCTGCTCAGCCCTGGAGCTAAGTCGTTCATCACATTTATTTTCCGACATAGGTAGATATAACTGGAGTATTCGGAGACATTCGTTCCGTTGAGCGTGAATGGAGAATGCGAAACCAATCCGTCCTTCATGAACTTCGCTTTTGTGAGATTTAGTCGAAGACCAATCTTTCCACAGGTTTTATCAAAATCGTCAAGCATACGCTCCGCTTGGCTAATGTTTGATGTTATAAAGACGATGTCATCAACAAAGCGAGGATGATATAACTGGCGACCATCGATTTTCACTCCCATATTATACATTTCCAGTGTTTGCATGACGTTCTGGAGGGTAGCGGTAAATAATTTTGGCGAGACGGTATCGCCTTGCCTAACTCCTCTTTTGAAGTCAATGTAAATGTCGTTGTGGAATGGTGATATCTTAGTGGTGAAATTTTTGTACGAGAATCTTTATGTACTGAGTAGGAACTCCTTGACTATCAAGGGCTTCCATGACTGCTGCTATCGCAACTGAATCAAAGGCCTTCTGCAAACCGATGAAAGTGAGACAGAGCGGTTTCTTGTGCTTTCGCGATACTTTGATGAGCCTTGTTATCGTGTGGATGTGGTCCATCGTACTAAATCCTTTTCGAAGCCCTGCTTGATCATATGACTAACCTTCATCCAGTTTTCTGTCAATCAATCCTATTTAGGATGGCTCGAGTGAAAAGTTTGTGGACAACAGACAGGAAGCAGATTGGGCGATAGTTGCCGATATCGTGCAGGTCACCCTTCTTGAGCAATAACACGGTCTTACTGGTCTTGTACTGAGTAGGGACCTTGCATTCAGATAGGTAACGTGTGAAGAGCCGAGCCAGTGTGTTTACGAGTACTGGCGGAATGTTCTTCAGGTGTTCTGATCTTATCCTGTCCGGACCTGGTGCTGTTCGATTTTTCGCCGACGAAATGGCATCTTAGATTTCGGAAGTGAGAACCGATGGTACAACATATCCACCCTCCTTTATTTCCATATGACGGAAGGTGGACGTGGCTATCGAAGAAATCTGAGGTGTATTCGTGAATGATTTTCTCCATTCCTTTCTGGCCGCTGTCACTGTTCTGTCTGGGCGGAGTGCAATCGTCTTGGTCATGCAATTGGCGAAGCTTCGATGGGCTTTGTGAATGCTTTTCCCAGCCTCTGCAGCTTCGACTATTATTTGTGGTCTTCCTTCCTTAAGATCTTCTTTTGTCGCGTGTCTGCATTGTTTTTCAAGTTCGGACATTAGTTCGTAGTTACCCGCAGCTCGTGCGATTCCACGCTGGCGTATCAGCTGGAGTGTTTCTGGACACAGACGTCTCTTGGTGGTTTTCGAACTCTCAGTTGGTCTATTTCGCTGTGGTACTCTCCATTGGGAGACTCCCACGTCCAGCGTTGAGGGTGGGGCTTCTAGAATTACGAGTTACCATGGATGGTCTTGGTCGCCATGATAAACTCGGACAACCGCTCTCCCAGTTCGTTCCTTTCCAATCCGTGAGTCCCAAATGTGACGCTAATCGGACCTTCTTCGTGGTCTATTCTTGGCGTTGAAACCTCCAATGGCCTTGAAGATGGTCTTCTCTGCAGAACTTCTCCAAGGCCATATTGAACGCTTCGTCTTCTTCTTTTTCTTCACAGTTTGATGTCGGCGACGAACGATTTGATGTCAAATCCGGAATTGATCCACATCTCCTTAATCATAAACGTCCGATTCGGGTTGTTAGTTGTTCGATTGAATCAATGTTCATGGACAAACTCGTAATAACTAGAACACTGACGCCGCCGGCTCGTCTACTGTCGCATGTGCCGAGGAACTCTTCTTCTCCGGTGTCATAGATGGCGTTGGTAAAGGCTGCCGTCTTCTCGTCTCGGCCAGGCCGATGACGTCGTACCTTATCCTTTTTGTTTGCATGAGCAAGTCTTCTATCGAGGACTCGGATGCAGGTGTACGTGCGTCGTAGGTACAGATCGTCACCATAGTTGTTTGAAATCCAGGTAGCTTCCATTGGCCCCGAGATTTTAGCTGCCTCTCCGTACTCGTCTTACCTAACGCTGCCGAATTGGAGGCTCTTTCAGGGTCAGGGGAATGAGGCCCTTTTTTTTTATTGTGTTTAGCATTTTGAGATTGCCACGCATAGCTGGCTGGGCTCTGAATGCGGGACTGTGTATACTCCCGAATTGCTTGCCAGGCTCTCCCAGAGTGGACACCTGGCGTATTTGTTGGAGGCGACTCCTAACCGCCTCCCATATACTTCCCAGTCACTTGATTGGTGGCTTTTGGCCGAATTGACTCGTAGAATACAATTCGCATAAGCAAGAACGCACACACACACGGAAGCATGAATGTGCCTAGCAAATACAGAAAGATGTGCCAAATCGACACAGCAGAAATAGGTAGTCCATCCCCTGGATCCACGTGCGTCTCAGAGAAGGAAAGGTCGCTTTTGGTCAGTGATTAGTCCCTTATTGGCCAACTGGGGACGTGCCACGTAGCCTCGCGACTAACCGGCTCGAGATCCCTTATGTGAAGGAGATCCTTGGTTAGCTGTTAGCCTTAAGTTCCACGTCATTATTCAATTTTTTTGGAGTGCAGTGTGCCAACACTTTGGCCGAATTTTTTCCATTTTCTAAATTCGTGTCTGTTACCACATATCCTTTATTCCATGAATTCAGCATAGTGTTTGCAAAGATAGGTTTTTACATACCTTGTCTTAAAAAGCCAAATCTGAATCGATCAATAATTTGTGTTTGACCGAAAGATATTTAACCAAAGTAAGGTTGTCATAAGTTAAATTGAAATTGTCGTCAAGTAGTGTTAGAAAAAGTTCATAGAACGAACACCACTTTTCATGGATACCTTATGCTTCCGAAAAAAGTCATTTAATGAAAGCCGTTTATACCGTTCCCAAACTATCTATAAACAAGATGAATTTTTTAGTGCGTAAAATATGTTAGGGTCTCAATCAATGGATGCTATAAAGTGTAGGAAAACTATACCAACACGGTGTTAAAGTGGAATTGAAGCTCACGAAATATAGTGGATAGCATTAATGAAAGAAACTTAAGGTGAACGGCGTCGTAAAACAGTGATCACTCCACAAGCAACTCGACTACCAGCGTTTCCAGTTTTTTTACTCTCTGGTGAATTTCCACGGCCCAGATCGTCTGCATCGGAATGAATGACGATAGCTCGTCCAGCCACACTATATGGACCATCGAGTTTAGCTACGGAGTCCGTGATGGAGATCATCGTAAAGCCGCCGTACTGAAAAGTACGCGAGTAATTCTCAGTCATATATGACAAACTGTATGCTTTAGAAATACAACGCAATGGGTACCAAAGTATTTTCTCCATTCTACTGGTTCCACACTATTATTTTTACATGAAAACTGCTTGGAATCTGCCAAACGTTCTAGTACGATTCGGCAACTCGTTAAGCCTCTCTTTCTCTCAGAATGGCGTTGTTTTTTCTTCTAATTTGCCTTAGTGTAGGTACTATGAACCTTTGTCCGTGCATGATCTCAGTCATCCACTATCAGAAATGTCTGGTTGGAAATGGTACTGAGCAAAACGAACTTGAAACCTCAGTCACTATCCTCATCACTTCATGCCACAATGTTTGGTTTCTTTTTCCTTTGTTGAGCGATATTATTTTGAACTACAGAAATCTTAAGGACAGGAGACGATATCTAAAGGATTTGCGAGCAGTTCTGAGTTCTTAGAAGAAATACGGGTAAGAGAAATTCACGTGCTTGGATATGACACGCCGCGAATACTTAGATGGTCAGTTGTTGAAATGAAACCCTAGGTTTTTTTTTTTACTATCCTTTCTACTAGGGTTTTCTGTTGCTGTTGGCCCAAATCTTTTACATGGTATGTGAAGACCGCAGTTTTAGGCAGGACAGATCTTCAGGACAGGTAGTCGTCGATAAAGGCAAAGTAGCCATTTTTTAAGGTTACCAATAATCTCCGAATCCCTTTTTGTCGTTATATCTCTATTTGATTACTACGCTTTATCCACCAAGTATACACCTATGTGTTATTTTGATTCCTCTTAATGAAGAAAGCTGGACCTTCATGTAAGATGTACCTACATGGTCTGGCAACATTTTCTAAATGGAACTCTCACCGAAGTAAAGATGTTCCCGAGATCACCGATGTGTCGATCGTTATCGTATGGTGAACCGTGTTGCATACTGAGCGGATTGTAATGACCACCTGCATTTGCGCAACCATTTCCCAAATCACCTTTTTCATGAACATGAAATCCATGAAGACCTGGTGTTAGTCCTTTCACGGTGCCGGTAATCTGAATTCTCGGCTGTTTAAAGTCTGAAATGTTTCAACGTATATAGAAATAGGTACTAACTAACCTTAACCCTATTTCCTACTTGCATAAAATCGATGGTTCCTATGACATTTTGCGGATCGCCTTTGGCGAACATAGTCGCACGAGCTGTCAACACAGGTGATAAACCTGTATGTAAAATTCGTGAACATTTCAAAAAATCAAGCAGATTGATCTAAACCACGTTACGTTGATGTAACGATTGAAGCTCTTTACGTAATATTCCACGTAATGGATAGTCTCACTTTTTCTTTTAGCCGGGCTCTATTGCCATTTCGATAACTGACTATTTTGTAGCACTTTTACGACATCTATAGCAACTAACTGTAAACGAAAAACGACGCTGTTATACAATTAAGGTGGAAGGAAAACTGTGATCGATACCTGTAGGCGTGAAAGCTTGAGTGGCTCCAAGAATGGCTGAGGTGAACAGCATTTGACGCAGCATTGTAAGGAAGATGAGTGCTGTTTAGTAAGATCTCGCGAAAATTGTGTTTGAGAAAACCGGTTACCAGTTGGCACAGTCTGTGATACTGCTGTGCAAACACTGCCCAATTCAGGTCTCCGTCTCAGATCTGCTCTACGCAATTCGCTAACACTTTTTCCCTAACTGCTGAACGAAAAATATAGGAATTCGTCCTTGTTCCCAATCTGAAAATCAACTGACTAAATTTTCTCGAAGCGGTAATGTGAACGTGTAGCTCGTCATTACGTATGATAAACGCATGTTTCTGAACAATAAGAGTCGTCTTATCGATAACCGATGTGTTAATAGCTGTTCCGTACAGGTCCGAGTTTCACGTCGACGTTCTCAATTTCGAGGAATTCGGTAACTTCCACGTTGAAATACATTTTTAGACAGGCTTAATGAATCCTGATGAGCAACGTAAAACTAATGCCAGTATTAGTGTCCAAGCAGAAAGTGCAACCAATAGAATCGATTGGTGAGGAAGTTAAAATGAAACAAATTTTTCTATTGCTTTCTAAAAATTTCACCACCGAGTGAGCGAATATCTGAAGAACCAGCTGGTTCCAGTAGAACACGAACACTCAAATAAAAAAGGAACTCAAAAGACCGACTTTCTCTAAACCTCGGCATGGATAGTTGATATATTTATTCATGTGATCTTATAAACTGATCTTCTTAAGCTGATTCGAGGTTGGTACAGACTTTCGTTGTCGTTGTCGTTGTTTTTGATGTTATTGATCGATGAATGACGTTTCGGCGACTTCGCCTTTCTCAGAGCCGTGATGTTACGTGCGGGACTGGCCAGTCAATCGATCAATAACATCAAAAACAACGACAACGACAACGAAGATCTGTACCAAGCTCGCGTCAGCTTAAGAAGATCTGTTTATAAGATCACATAAATAAATAAAAAAGGAACTGTTAATGGTGGGGCATAAAAGAGAATTACTTCTCTTGAGCTGTCTACGAAATTGACTTGGCAGTGATTGATTGATAAGAACTTACTGTCTAGTATTTTCACAGGATTTCTATACAGCAAGAATGATTCGATGCAGTTTGGTAAAAAAAAATGTGTGTATGTGTGTATATCACCTGTATCACCTGTAGTCCCGTTGGTCGCCGAGTGACTCGAGCGGGCGCCAGTACATCTTCCACTTTTCCCTGTCGCGTGCAAGAGTAGCCCAGTGGACTCTGCTCGCTCTAGGAACTCGTCGAGCATCGTATCTTTCTTCAAAGCTCCTTGTGAAGAACTCTGATCATCGGGTTGGTGGCCTTCTTGCCGTACGTTTGACATCCCGAGGGATCCAGCCACTAACGGCTCTTGTCCATCGGTTGTCATTCATACGCACTACGTGTCCGGCCCACCTTATCTTCTACTGTTTGGGGTACAGAACGGCATCTTCGATTTTTGATCGTTGACGCTGATCGAAGCAACTGCCACGACCGACTTTCTATTAACCTCGGCATTGATCAAGTGATTTTGTTCGTATTTTTTTGAGCAAACGCGAGGT